GAACTTCACCACCCCTTGCATGGCACTCTTAGATCAAGGCTCTGAGCCTTCACATGCAACGCACTTGAACCTTTCGGTCCTCATCAGCTCCACGACGGCTACGGGCCTCGGGCTCAGGTCAAGATGCCACGGGCAGGTGTCCAAAGTCTAGGCCTGCTGAAACGCTTTCCAAGCGGCAGCCTGTGCGACCACCATCGCCTAGCCATGCACTCTGTAGGGCTTTCTTTAACTTTTGCCAGAGATCGCGATGCAGCTCGAAGTTGCTTTCGCTAGTCACAGAGCCTCGCCGAAGGTCGCCCCAAAGACATTCTCCACTTTGTGTGCCCGAAGGTGTCCCGTGTAGCCTCAGCACTTGACACATGCTCAGTGAAAACGCCGAGCTGGAAACTGCAACAAGAGAGAATGGAAGATTCCGCTTTCTGAGCTTCCGACCGGGTACGGGCATCGTCTTGCGGGCCACCTAATGGCTAGGGTAACAGTTGCTTGGCAAGAGGAATTTCGATGACCTTTGCGGATCTTCACCACTGCAGGCAGGCAACCTCGCTAAGAGCTCTGCGCCGCGCATCCCGGCCTTGGGCAAAGCTGTTGGCTCTCTCTAGCAGCGCGATAATTCCGATCAGAGCCGCTCATCTTCTGAGAGTCAAACTCACCTGCAAGTGCGGCGGCGGTGCCTGATTTCACGAAAGCTGCGATGTGACGAGTAGAGAAGCACGATGTCGTGGCGTTACCAAAGAACAATCTGAAACACGTCGAGTGAGGCACTGACCAGGCGATTCGAGGCGACTCTAATTTTGACCAGCTGCGACAGTCCCCGGAGTGGAGGGAGGTCAGGGTCTTGATTTCTGACGGTTGTGGGCGCCGAGCCGAGATTTCATTTACTCAGAAACCCAATTATAAGTCTTAAGTCATACGAGCACCAGCATCGGTCACCGATTGCTCTATTGCTACAAACGAACGAACGATGGCACGCGGGCCCAAACCAAGCACCTTGACAAGTTTGGGTTTACATCTCGTCTATGCCGCTCCCAACACTTCCCGTAACGCAGCACTTGAAGGTGACCCAGCCCCTGCTGCTGACTGGAGACAACAAGCAAGTGCTCGTGCTGCCCGGGCGCAATGGTCAAACCAGCTCTGTTTTGAGGTATCGCCATTGAAGCCCTGCATGAGTACAGGACTGACAGGAATGCACAGCCATGTCAACCAATGCCGGCACGAAACTGATACTCTCAATCAAGCTGTGCCGTCAAAGAACTAATGAATCATTGCGCGTATGTGTATATACACACATACATACATACATACATACATACATACATACATACATACATACATACACAAACATACATACACAAACATACATACACATGCACGTGCACATGCACACATACACAGACACACACACACACACATGTAGTTACATGTATATGCATGTACATGTGTATGTATAGGGTGATGTTTGTTGTTTCTGGTGCCATGGTTTAACACATGGAACGGCGTTATCAAGACCCTGCGCCGGATTTATCGAGAACAGGTCGAGATTATCAGGCGCAAGGGCTTTTGAGGCACATGGAAAAGATTTTTCAGACACGTGCAACGGTTTCCCTAAACTCTAGAGCCTGAACAAAACCTGCACGTGTGAATGATATTTCCCACGCATGTGCTGGATAATGCTGGAGAATTCACGCTTCGATAAATCGCGCGCTTGTCTTCCCGAACCATGGCGCAATTGAAAATTGAAACTTCAGAATTTATGAAAAAGACAGCTCCCTGTATGTGTATGTAGATTAATATGTGTGTGTGTGTGTACGTGTGCTGTATACCTACATACAGAGAGCAAACAGATAAGTTATGCCAGCGGAGATCCTAAACGGTGAAAGCCCATTCCAGACTCATGCCGTGAGGACCAGAAAGTCGCGACCAGTGTCACATGCCAACGGGCATGAATTGCTTGGAAAACACAGGTCGCACGACGAGCACTGCGACCAGGACGATCCCGGCGGTAAGGACCAGGACCAGGAGACCAGCAAGAGACCACCACGACAGCAGGGAACCACGAAGTGACCGCCAGGACACCACCAGGAGGAGACCACCAGACCACCATGAAGCCATCAAGAGACCACCCAGAGACAACCAGCAGACCACCCGCAGGAAATCCCAGACGACCAGCAAGACGCTGCCAAAATGCTTTCCCCTAAGTACAGTACTGACGCATTGAGTACCACGCACGAGATGCTTTCCTGCAGGGGGGATCCCCGCAGCGAGGAACTGTATTTCTTAAGTACTGGCGCGTTTCGGGAACACGAGAAGAGTGCTTCTCCCCAGTAGGAGTACTGCTGCGAGTCAAGGTTGTCGAGAGCCAAAGAGTGGTCCATGTCGTTTTGTACGCCGCACATCACGGGGACTCGTAGCACGCGGAATCTGCAAACAATGGGACTTCTGCGAAAACTAGCTATGCATCGCACCGCACCACAGCGGGAGACCCGCGTCGCGAGCATCCTTTGTGACAGTAGGACGCGGGGAGCATCTGCTGCAAACAACAGGATGCGGGGAGCCAAATTTTCGCGCGTGCGCGCGCACGCGCCGCGCCTGCAACTGAAACAATTCTCTATACCATAAACGCAAGAACCAGTGTTACTACACTGCTTATAGGTAAGAAACGAACAAACACATTGTCATTCAACGATGCGGACGAAGGCATTCATACGAGGAGATACATCGATGGTTGGATAGACAGACAAACTCGTACCCAACAAAGTATATGCAAATGACAGATAGATCGACAGACAGACAGAGAGACAGATAGAGATAGATAGATAGATAGATAGATAGATAGATAGATAGAAAGATGGACAGATATATGGACAGATAGATGGACAGAAAGAAGGATAGATAGATAGATAGATAGATAGATAGATAGATAGATAAACACATGGATAGATAGACAGACAGATAGATAAACAGATGGAAAGAAAGATGGACGAGGTAGGTAGGTGCATATATATATATGTATATACGTATATATGTATATATTACAAGTAAACGTACATACTGCATACATATACATAAACATATACATGTGCATATACATATACATATTATACATATACATCTACATCTACACATACATACATGTATACACACATACATACATACATACATACATACGTACGTACATACATACATACATACATACATACATACATACATACATACATACATAATATGTACGTACATGGAGGGATAGCTGGACAGATGAATGGATGCAATGCATGGATGAAATCTGGATGGATAAGTCGACAGGTCGATATGCGTATGGGTCGATGGGTAGGTAGGTCGGTCGGCCGGTCAATCATACATGAAGAGATGTGATCTGTGTATTATATACCTATAGCCTATATCTATATCTATATCGACACCACGAATACATAAGTCCAATGTGTGCATATTTTATTTAAATTTTTGTAATATACATACACGAAGCGGCATATCGGCGCATGTGTGCTTTTGTGAGGCATACCATGCACAGAAAAAGGCACGCCCTCTATATGTATTCGTACACATCTCCTCCATCTCATGAGTCCCGTGCTGCTTGTGCCTCAGTGCTGCTGTAACGATGATTATCGTAGGCTTGGGGCTGAAGGCTCTGACGGCTCAGGAACACTCTCATAGCCTTCGGCGCGCTGCACGGCTTGGCCGAGAGGCACCGTGGGCTTTGAGTGCCGCAGCTGCAGGCGCGTTAAGGCTTGGCAGTGGGCCCCGTACCCTGGTTCCTAGGACTTTGCAAGGATCTCCAGGCCGGCACATGTCATCCCACCTGTGCCCTTCGGTCCTGCATGCTATGCTTCCCGGGCCGGCTGGGATAGCCCCTGAAAACCTGACGGCCTGTCCACCTGGCCGCCTTTACCACTGGAGCCTGAAGCCAATGAAAGCCTGAAAGAAGTTTACCCTGAAACTCCTCAGTCGTTCGACAGAAAAGCTAAGGTCTGTTGTTCGAAAGTGCCGTAGCCCCGAGCATTATTCTGTTTCGGTCACATGTAGCCTGATTCTGTATGCCATACTACTCGGTCGCTGGTGCCCCCTTGAACTGAAGCCGTATCCAGCATCTAATCTAGACTAGACCGAGCGTTGACCGATGCAGGGGCTCGCCACTTTTGGAGCTTTGCCTCTTGCCTTTGGCATGCTGCGGCGCCGACACCGCTGGTCAGCGCCACTCGCTTCCTTGAGGAAGGTGTTTCCCACGCTGATGTGAAATACTGGACTATACTGGACTTTCAGCACGCCATGCGCGGTCTAGCTTCAAAATGCTCTTCAAACTCCTGCCTTAGCAGCTGGGCTCCTGCGACGTGTGTTAATTTTCAGGCCCAGTCGCTACACATCAGTATGCAGAAATACAAACTTTGGGCCAACGCCCTGGTGTTGGCATCGCACAAGGAAGGCTTCCCACCATGCTCCTCTATCTGACCCAGTACGGGCAGTGCGAAGCCCTGAAGATCCGCGGTGCAATTGCTAATTAGGATGCTTGCCTTCAAGGGCTTCATGCTTCTCAAGACACTTGAGCTCCGACGTTCCTAGAGCTGAGAGCTGGAAGGGTAATTTGATCTTGTATCTGCGGCTCTTGGAGGGCCCCGAGTCGGCAATGTTTTTTGTCCAAAGCCTTTTGTTGACACGATGCCACACACCAATTCAAGTGCTGTAGTCGAGATCATGGCTGCGCCGAAGTGCGCACCACACATCGTCCTTTGCCGGAGTCCGTGGGTGAGCAACACATGCACCGAGTTCGACAATTTTGGCGCAAAGTCCGCTGACGCGGAGACAGAGAATTTGGGCACGCCTGCCTCTACCCTTCGGGTTTCGGCAGTCGATCGGTGCTTTGTCCAAGTGAGGGTGGCTGGGTAAATCGGGCGCGATAGGCGATCGAGTTGGACACGAATTTTGGATTAGATCTGTGGAGGAGGCATCCTGGTCCCTGCACATCAGACATCAGCGTCTATGATCGCAGTTCATATCTGCAGCTTGTACCGCTGGCTGCCGGCTTCATCCTGCCACAATCAGAATGGGGCTGTTTTTTATTATGGTTGCAGCCCGTAGCTCGAAGCCATTTCTGAAAGGGATGAAAAGCCATGAGCAGATCTGAGCAGAAAGCTAGTGGAAGCTAATCAGGGTCTGGTCTATAGCCTCTCTGTCGACGTGCGACTGCTGCTTTACCGTCAGCCTAGGTGTAGAATGAAGAGACCCATCTGTCATAGTGCCCCTTCATGACGTGCAAGTCCTCCTGAGCCCGTGGAAGGACGGAATCCAGCGAAAGGAAGCCTTAGATGAGTCAGAGGCTCCAAAGGTCTTGAAGCTGCGAAGACCAGGGCCCCAGCCGTCAGATATTTGGCTCAACTCCGACCGAGACTTTCGGAGGCCACCTACTGTACCAGACTCTCTGCCAGTCTCTAGGAGCAGAGCTCGAGGCAACTTGAATCCTAAAGAGACTACTCAGACTACTCGAGGAGTGGTCCTGCACGCAGCGGCTTCGACGGCGTTGCATCGATGCCCCTGGCGCCTGCACAATACAAGGATACACAAGCAACCTGCGCCTGCAAGCTAGCAACAGCTGGTAGCTAGTCGGTCCTTCTGATGGGATTGCGACCACAAGGCCCTGGCTGTTGCTCCTGCAAAGCAAGCTGCACTGTTATGCGTGCTCCTCTGCATCGACATCTTCCGTTGCTCTCGAAAGCCATAAGAAACAAGGAGTCGTTGTGCCTTCCTGCCTTTGACGAACTATTACGAAAAAACTACTCATACTTCTGTGGCCGCTACAACATCTGCTTCATGGAACCGACTCCTGGGATCACTACCCTTCGGAGTTGTGTCCCTGGCGGTCGAGCAACGGCAAGGCTTGGAAAACACGGTTAGCCGCCCGGCCAGGTTTCTTGTGTGCTGCTGCGGCCTGGGCCGAGGCTCCAATGCTTTTCTGAACAGTCTGAACACTTTGGACGAAGGGGAAGGGGCCTGCCCTGCCCTGCCCCTTCCTCCATGGGCATGCCCTGCCAAGCAGCTCCGAAATATCCGACCATGTTAACAGCGTTAATTGGGGCGACGCGGAGGCCCAAGCGCGGTGGCGCAGGTTCGTGGGCTTTGGGGAAGGGTCGGTTCCCGATTCACCGGCAAGCGCGGGAGTATGGCCTGCGGCCTCGACCTCTCACCCAGCAGGAGTGAGTTCGAGTTGCCCAACGGCTAGGCGACTCCACGCCAACGGGTGTCCCGGCATTGATGTCCTTCTGTTGTCTAAAGTACGGCGCGTTCCCTCTGCGTTTGTTTTGTCCCACTCCAGGTCCGCAAAAACCATTGCATCAGGCTGCAACTGCGCTAGGCGCCTTGCAGACGGGGTCGTCCACTAGTGATACTGTTGCTAGCTATGGCCAAGCTGAGACAGTCAACAAGACATTGACATGGCGCATGTCATGACCCTTTTGTCCATAACAAAAACCTGCTGTCTGCAAGTAAGCGATGCCCGAAGTGCGGATTGCCAAAGACCTTCCACGTGATCATCATGCTGACTGCTAGGAGTATCGTCGGAAGACAGAACAACAAGCCCTGTTCGCCTGGAAACATATTGTCTGCCGAATTTGTTGCCAGATCCATATACAAGCTGCCGCAACACCAAGGAACGCTGGATGTGACGATTTCCGGTTTATGCACGGCCGGCATCACGAAAGACAGTGGTAACTCTATGTTTGACTGTACAAAGCGAGGAGTCCTCTCGGACAGCGATGCATTGCTTTGCGAGGCGAACATCGTGGGATCGCTCGCCCCCGCCTGATTGCAAGAACATCGCACAGCAGATCTAAACTTTGGCTTCTGCAATCGAAGACCAGATTTCCGAGGACCTAAGGGACCCTAAGCTCGGGCGGCGGCCTGCGACACCGGTGTTGCAACGATGCTGCCCATCCTAAGGGTGTGCTCAGCAAGGATCATTGTTCCATTCTGCCAAGAAGGGTCATGTTAGACACTGAGCCACTAAGCCAACACTCGCCGATTAGAGCTCGGCGGCCTCAGAGATGCCTCTTCGGTTGGGCTTTGAGTTTACCCCGCTTGAGAAATCCTGGGAACAACCCAGGATGGACTCGCCCGCAGAATCGACTACATTAGGGTCGGAAGCGAATCCGGAGGTTTTCCAACGCCCTTATCCCGGCCGAAGGCGCAAGCATAAGGAGGGCTCTGCTGTCAGCCAACTCCAACCATCCCGAAAGCAGGGGTTTCCTTGATTTGTCAAAGGCCCACCCAAGCGATATTCCGATATTGGAAGCTGTCCAGAGCCGTCTCTTTCACCTTCCGAACCACCACCATCGCGATTAATGAAACTCATTAACATCACCACTACCACGACTACGACTACTGCTGCTGTTACTACTGCTACTGCCACTGCCTCTGTCGCCGCCACCGGAGACCCCCCCTTAATAAGGTCCAATATTACATCTTGGATGCACTGCACTGTTCCGTTCGAGCCTCGGAGCTCCTGCAGATCCTTCCTTATACTTCCAGCCAAGGAACCTGTCGTTCGATCGGAACCTTGGTCGAACTATCGACGGTATGCATGAATTATGCAATCAGGATTGGCTACTGTCGATCAACGCGTGTCCACACGGACTTGCCCTGATGCGAGAACCATTAAGAGCAAGGGCCTTATCGAGCGTTCCCTCAGCATTGATGCGACCATCTCCTGCGAGGAGCCGGCAGTGAATGCGGGGGGTGGGGGCGCTTGGGATCAGCTGAATTCGTAACAGAAGCACAGAGGAAGCCTCTTGTCATTGGCCTTGGGCTTTCGTCTCCCCTTTGCCTGGAGCTGCTCTTGTCGGCGCTGGAAGGTGGAGAGCTCGGCGACTAACGTGTGCAGGTCAATGCCTGGCTTCTTGAAACTCTTCGGGCCCAGGGCCCAGCGAGAGAGACCTTCACTACTTGCAGACAAGGGGCCGGTAGCCGCACCTGGCAAAAGACCCCCAGGCAGCAGGAAAGCCACGAAGCAACGATGCCCCGGTTCATATCCATTCGATACGGTGGTAAGCACAGTGAATTGAAACGCACACGCTACAACCGCTACAATACAACATAATCATTGAATCATAGCACCATGTGTTCTACGAGTATTTCCCGAGAACCACGGCCCAAAACTAAAGTTGCAGCATCAGGTCAGATAGGACACACGGTGCTTGAGAAAAAACCTGGTCTTGAGCCGTCGACCAGAAACCGATTGACCCTGAAATCTGTGGCATCGTTTTGTTTTGCTCGGTCATCTTGCACCTTGAGCATGCATCGCACTTTCTAAAATCACAACCACCATGACTGAAAACTTGATTCGATAAGGGGTGGGACGGCGCGGAGGATTGGGGTGGGGTGGGGGGCTTTAGGGCATGCATTGACTTGCTGCAGTAGGTAGCGGAGCTTCGTGATGCTCTGTGCCCGAGTAATTTACAGCAGTTATGCAGGTGCTCCAATCCTTTTGAGCACGCTCCGGAGATCGTTCCTGGCGGCAGCTACAGCAGGTGCATGAAGTGTTCCTGATCGAATCGCTATTCCATATTGTGACTTCCGTCAAACCTTCACTGGCTCGCTTGTTCGCTGTTGCTTTCGTGTGCGCTCTCCAATCCATGTTGTCTTTCCACGGCTACTTATACTTTGGTCTCCAGTTGGCTCGCTTTTCCCCAGTCCCTGGCCCTCCTCAGTGGACGAAAACCTTGGGCTTTCTCGTGTCTCAAACAAGTGCGTGTGCTGTCATTGCGGATTTCAAGTTCGAAGGATGCCTCCGGCGATGGCGCCAACAGCGATTGCAGTATCGTGTAAGTTAGGGGGCCTGCGACACCAAAATCCCGAAAAACTCTCCCTTTCAGACTTTGCCCATGCTGATTCCTGTGGAAGCGTGATAAGAAGCACGCAGGCCTTTCATGCGCATGCATCCAGAAACGAACTGCGTGATCTCGATCTCCCGCTGGTTCGTCATGACCATCAAGTTCCTGAGTCTGAAAGTAGAACTCGGTGTTGCTGTCGCTACACTGCTACTTGTCTTTGGTGTTGATAGGGATCGGGGTCTATGAGCGCTTGAGAGCGCAACTCATGTGCCGGAGACACAGATGAAAGCAGAGCTACGAATGCCTTGTGGCAAACATCTTTGCAACATGAGGTCTTCACTGTAACCTGCTGACCAGTGAAGTCCATCAAATCACTCTCTTGCGGACAAGGATACTTGAAGAATTTCTTGGAATCGAAGATGTCAAGACCCAGGGAAGCCATGTTCCGGTAGCCATTTTCCTCAGATTTGGCCGAGCGGCCTTGTAGTTAATGCTTGTCTGCAAAGACGTTTCAATGCATGCTGGCACCCAAGCTGAGGTCGCCACGAACTGCAGGAAGTCATGGAATTCAACCCAGGAGATCTGCGAAGGCAGGTCACGGTTTAAGGAAGGAAGAATCGGGCTGCGAAAGCAGGCAGTAAGGCCTAGTAGACCTTAGCAGGCCGGCATTGCAGCTCCGATTCAGCTCGGTGGAGGAGTTGCAGGAGATGGCCTTGCCATCCCCATCCGAATCGATGATGCGACAGGTGTCTCGCAGGCGCTCTGCCTGCACTCGTCTGGACATGCACATAAGATGCGGTCGTACAAGCAGTTGCATCGCACCTCCGTTCTCTCCTTCTTCTTCTGCTCCGCCAGGGCCAGCTCCCGATCAGCTGCGGACACCTCTGAGGCCACCCCGGGATCTACAAAACTCATGGCTTCGAACATCGCCACGGCAGGGCACTTTCATCGCGTGATCCACGAAGACCTGAGCGGCGCAGGGCAGTCAGGTTGAAGGTAGACCAGCCTTGGACATAACGCAAGCGCGCAGCAGAAATACGGAATTGAATAGGTTTTCAGGAGAGCTATGCTCGTGGTCCGAGGGCGCCATGATTCAGGTTGAATCAGTGGCGTTCCTTGCTTCTTAGAAGTCAGGGATAAAAGGGGCGTTTCAGAGGCTGAGCGACGAGAGGCTCCATGCCTGCCTGATTTTAGTCACCTCCCTGTTCAGAGCATGTCTTGCAGCTGGTAATATGATCGATGGTTACTTTTCGCTACCGCATTCCAGGGCTTCACGTACATACTGTTCCCGGACCTCCTCCGTTTTTTGTCGGAAACCATGTTGAGCTTCATGCATGCCATCTCCTTGCTGGACACGAAGCAGACGCTGAACGATGAGCCCTGGAAGCAGCTGGTGAAAGGCGTGCAGCAACAGTACGACGACACGAGAGTGGGGCATCAGTTGGGCTGGTTCCTGTGGAAAAGCCGAGAGTGGCTTGGCAATCTGTTCATGTCGCTGCTCCACCGGGATGCCAAGATCCTGTGCCTGCAAAGGCCACGTCGTCGAAAGACCCTACGTGACTGCCAACCACTGTTTCACTGCTGCACAGTGAAAAGGTACGTTGTTGGCAGTCAGGTAGGGTCCTCCACGGCATTCTTCATGGCACGGGACCCTAGGAAACGACTAACTTTTTTGAGCTGCCAGGCGATGCACATGTCATGTCCATATCGTCATCACGGCGTGGGCGGATGAGATGCGGCGGCGTGAGGAGCATTGCACTTGCCGATGATGTGACTTGAGCTGGGAGTTGTCAAAACTAAATGTACTGCCGGAACTCCGTCTGAGTCGGCGATGGTGAATCCAGCTGAGTGAGCGGATGCAGTTGTGTGGGCAAAATCTCTCTTGCGGCCTTTGGCGCCTCCTGCGTCAACATGTCCAGCGACTCTGGGTTTTCACTCTCCATGGCCATGGGGTCGAGCATAGCAAAATGCTATGCTTTTCTTGAGAACTCTGTGCGCTGGCAGCAGCGAAGCGGTGGGATGGCATGATCGCACGAGTTCCGTTAGTGCCCGACCTGTCCAAACAAGTAGTCTCGACACGTGCTGCATGTGTGTGTGCGCGTGTTTTTCTGTCTCTGTGTGCGCAATCCTTGCTGCCAAGCTGCGCCCGTCAGGACGTTGAAGACCGCAAACTCGAAGAAAGCCACCTCCCCAAGTAGGAAAGAGCTTCTCAGGAGGTGCCAATTTCAGAGCTTCCTCTGATGACTCTCGCGAGCCGCTGAAAGATGCGATGCTTCAATCTTCCAATGGCCAATGGCCGGTCTGGGTGCTTGTGTTCTTGGCCCTTCTGGGCCTTTGCTACTAAGCTGCTAGCACAAGCTCCTTGTCGACTGTCTACAAGCTAAGACGCATAGAAGAGGAAGGCAACAGCGCCCATCTCGCCAGTGTATTCCTTGTCATGGATTCGGATGTGGCGGATTCCAGCTGCTTCAGATATCTGAAAGCCGTTGACTCCAAGTGGCTAGCAGCTCATAAGGATTTCTCCAGTCCACTCCACCAGTGCAGGCCCTGAGCTGCAGCTTGCAGCATGGTATGACAATGCTGTGAAATCTGAGAGGAATTCCATACCTGAGGGCCTTCTCACGCACATTGTCGGGAATGTGAGCAAGGCAGCTAGGCGAACAAAGCTCTCAACAGTCGTCTGCCGCACATTGGCTTCTCGCGGCCTAGCTGCTGGTATAGAGTCGCCATGGTCACCTGAACCTGCAGTTAACCAGATATGTGTCAGACGCTTCAGCTCTGCACGGCAGCGAAACGGAACACTGCCATTGAGTACCGCAAAAGCAGTGTCAGGGGAAAGTCCGATGTCGCGGTAGCTACCCGGACCCGAAGCGGATTTCCACGAAGCCTAAGACAAAGTGACTGAACCTCTTTGGTCTGCAATCCCAAGAGCTGAGCCAAAGTAGTAAAGGAAGTCCTCTTTGACGAGGCCATCCACATCCTCCCATCACAGGCATAAACCAGTCAAGGGCTGCCAGAAAGACACTGAATGCTTGCACATTGCAAACTTACAGCTTAAACCCCGGTGTGCGACCGTGGAAGCTGGAAGCCTTCTCAACGATGTGCTCGGTGACCAACCTTTGTGGAGATGTATGTCCGACCAGTGCATACAGCATACATGACCAACATTGTTTTTTTTTGCCTGCATGGCGATGAAATCTAGACTGTCGATCTATCTGTCTGGCCAAGGGCCTTTCCCATGTCTTTCCCTGTCATAGCTAGACGGACGGACATTCACCTGCACGCGGAGATACGCGTATCACGTACGAAGATTGACAGCTGTAAAAATGGCGAACTGCCAATACGAGCATCGAGTAGCTGCACAATCAGCAGCGAGAACACCAGAATGACGAAGAAGATGAGCACCAAACACCTCTGCTGCAACGGGGTGACTGGCTCGTGTAGTCTTCACCAAGAGTGGTGACTACATTAACGAACCACTACAATGCATCATCGCATGCAGCACATATGCGGAAGCATACGAGCTTATGGAAACAGCCCAGCAAGAACACTTCCTAATTGCAATGCAGCAGAACTCCTATCTTTCATCGAGCGGAACTGTGACTCATGTCCAGTCAGGTCTACACCAGCAGTCCTGCCAAGCGTCCAGAAAAGAGAACTGAATGACCAGATAATTGAGAACAGCATGCACCGCAGATCTCGGAAGACCCGGATGACCCGGACAAGCCTTCGGAACAGGTGGCCGAAAAAGTGTCTGCGGTGGCTGGCAATGAGGTCTTCTGCAGTAGCGCGTGTGAGTGCTACAAGTATCGAGTATCGAGACTGTCTGCATCCTCTCAGAGGCTGGGACGTCTGCTGCAAATCAACATCTTTTTCAAACGTAGTCTTGAAACCTGCAGAATCACCTCCAGTTGCTTCGTTCCTCATCCTACATACATGTACTCCTCTCAGCTGTGCCGCAGCATGCGCCTCAGGATCCGCGACACCTTGACCACTCTTAAGGACCTGGCGCGAATGCTGCAAGGCAACACAAAGCGAGCAGAGCTCTTGTGACATTTGAGTCGGCAACTAGCGAAATCACATCTTGTCTGCCTCATGAAGTTCATGTTGGCGGAATGTCCGTCATCGTACCTTTCGCCGCAGGTTGCAAACAAAGACGGCACCACACTACTACACTACTCATGTTCTGGCGTCATTCGCACACTGCCACTCTGTGTGCGCAGGCAAGCCTTCCCGCGTTGAACGAAGCGTAAGATTCCAGTTGCAAGCAGCCCAAAAGACTACGGTCTAGGTGTCCAAGTCGCTGCAAGGAGACGATCAGGTCGTACACCGCGAGTATTACCAGTATTAAGTCGAACACATTCCAAGGAGCCTCCTGCCGAAGTGAGGGCAAGCTCGATAGTGGAAGCATGTCGCCACATGTCGGCATGCCGCAGCAAGGACAAGACACACTCAGTCCTAACACTTGGCCGCAAAAGAACTCACCTGAAAGACCGCTCCTCGTTCCAGAAGAAGTAGGCTTTGTGGACACGCATCTTCAGGCCAGACTCAAGAAGGTACACTGCACCTCATCATGCACAATAAACTCAGCACCATCAAATTAACCAACAACTACAACACGAGACGACACCTGGGCACAAAAAGAGTAGTCCCAAAGGTTTTCCTAGGTCCTAGGGTGACGGGCGAGTCTCGAGGTAAGCATCGATTTTGGCGACGACCTGCCTTCGGCGCGCGACCCAACGAATCAATTGCCCCTAAAACTGGTCTTCGCGTACGAATGCCAACACTTGGTGCCTAGTTTTCGGTGAAACGGTTACAAGAGTCGACAGCAATTTACTACACTAGCAGCGTTTCTTGCGCAGCAACACCGATGCAGCTTTCGGAGGCAATGGGAAACGCGTGTGAGGTCCGCGTGAAGCAGAGACGAGGCTGGGGAAAGGAAACACATACAAGTACATGTAGCTGTCTGCTCATCTCGGGGGGCCGAAAAGTCCTCGAAACCGAAGGGGATGCCCTTCCAACACTGGTAGCAAAAAACCAAGCACGAAACAGACAAGCACGGACGTGCTTTCATGGTCATAGTTGCCCAAGATCAGCCGAGGATCAGAAAAAGATGTCTAGGCCTGACACTGCCTCAGCGCAAGACAGCGGCTTAGCAGACCGGACACGACGCTATGGGCGAGCGCGCAAGTCTGGAGACTCGTCTCTGCAGTTCCAAGTGCGTATGGAACGTCGAAGGATTCGTTCTGCAATGTCCAGTTTGCCGTGTACAGGATGACGAGGACATTCCTCAGCGCGCATCAGCAAGCACATCCAAGTACTCCTTACCGGGCGGATCTCACGCGCTTTACATGGAGTTTCAATGGCGACTGTGACATGTCCTGGAAACACTGCACTGCCGAGTTTCGCGAGGATCACCAGTGTGCAGAAAGAGCCTGCTGCGGGCATATTGTGATACTGCCCTGATCTTGTGCATTGTTGTTGAGCCAGCACCAAGCACAACAACCTGCAACCAAAGTAGAGTGGCTGATTGTACTTTTTCTGCATCTAGCACACTGCTGGAATACCCAATCAAAAGGAGTGGTTTCCTCTGCTCCTGTGCTTTCGGAAGATCTCCTTAACGAACGCATCCTACTTGTAACTGCACTATGAATTTTCAATTCTGAAATGCAAGCGAGGCTCAGAACAGGGTGCTGTTGAGGATTGCTTGACAGCAGCCGCGTCTTTCCTTGGCTGCTGGGGGTCCGAGCTTCTCGGCCTGAGGATTGCAGACTGAGGCTGTCACCGGCTCATGCAGACCTCGGACGCAAGGCACGCAGTAAACAGCTTGCAGAAGTGCATGTTGAGACAGGCCCGTTTGCCTACCTCCCTTCCCTTGGTAGCCGCTTTGTTCGGAAACTCCAATGCCAGCAAGGCTGGCTGATGGCTTTGAGTAACTTGTTGGGGGCTCGGGCGGATGTGCACGGCAGAGGCAAACGTTAGAACACTAGAAGCGGAAACCCCTTGTCTCCCAGGCGCTGCAAAGCCAACGCATCCACGAGATGATAGACTGCAATATCCTGCAGCATACAACGGACACTCCTTCTAAGTCTAGTCACCGAAACCGTGAAGCATCTCGGCCTACGGATGAGTCTGCAGGACGCCCCCTCGTGGTCCTTTGTCCCCAGGGAATGCGGTTGAACCATCGCTTGAGCCTGCAGGCTCAAGTTACGCATCGTTTGAAAGTCCGGGCAGTGCCGACAGCCGCCTGTGGCTGCTTTCAATGGCAAACAAGACGTTCTCCATGTTTGAGGTCCTGGCGTTGCGATGTCTCAAAATCTGTACGACGCCAATATGACTCAGCTAGGCTTAGCCGCATGAGTTCGAGCTACGCATACAGGCCAAGTCCTCTTCTCGAACTCGCGAACCGAATGAAGCCGCTCGTTATCTTCTTCGGAAGAGACAGTGCCTCAGATTCAGACAGGGTCAAAGTTGGAGCTCCGAAAGAGGGCTTGCCGCGGATTCCGCCAAGCTGCTCTTGCCTCGAGAGTGGGTGCTGCCAATCCTTCTGTGGCTGGTGCTCTGGGAATGGCTCACCTGCGCGGATGGCGATCACGAGTTAAGTCGCGGAATGTGATGCAACTTTTCGATCCTTCTTGTCGCTTCACAGAACGCACACGGACGGCCTCGTCCTCCTCGTCTCCAACGAACTGCCTCATTCCTCAATCTCGAAATCCCGTCGTTGACAGCTCATTCAAGCGAATGAATTGGCAACAAAAAACTCGCGCATGCCGTCATGCCCGTGCTTGCCAACTGAAAGCTGAAGAAGGAGGTGCTTTCAAAAACGAAAAGAGTACATTTCTGCGTGGCGAAGCTACGGAGCAACACTTGCACAACGCAATCGAGCACCCGTGGCGCAGTCATGTCGAAGGCTCAAAGCCGAGGAGCGAGTCGCTGCCTCGGTGGCGAAGTCTTCGAAAACCATCATCTTCTCAGACCTGCGCACCCGCCCTGGCCCGATGAGAATCGCTGCGAAGCATGCTGCACATGGGGGCTTCAGATTAACTGAAAAGAACCCGGGTACTGGATCACTAGATCCATGAGAACTCTGTCACACTTCCGAGCATTTCAGGCCTGATCGGCTGCAGCTGCACAGCCGAGTTGTTCTGAGCGTGACTTTCTTCAGATCTGCTCGGCGAGGAGTCCGAGAACTTAGCATTACAGCAGGGGAGTTTTTTGCAGCCCGCAGACAACAGAATCCCATGGCCTTGAGGCAGGCATTCAAGCGCTCACATCGCGGGCACTTGTATCGCGCGTTGAGGCAGGGTAGGTAGCCGACCCCCGAAAGCTTCTCGTCCACATGCTGGCCTTGCCAGGCACACAAAGGAAGCCCAAGCCTCCACTGGTCCAAAAAGTCCACACACGTGTAACTCGCTGCCACTTGCGTCGCCAAGAAGCGGGGCATCCGCTGCAGCAGCTGTTCAACAAAGGCATCCTCGCCAAGCCATGCCGAGGCTACGTCGGCACGTCGCTGGTGTCAACCCGAGTCAACCCTTCACTTGAACTCAGTTCTGAAAGTTTCGGTCCGGATTCCATGGTTCCGCAAACAGTTCTCACGCCAACACGCCATGTACCCAGTCTGCGCATGCTTAGAGACTTTTTGGACGAGACCTAGCTGCTATTTTTCGGTGCACTGCCGTCCAGCTGGTGATCGCTGAAATTCGCTTAATGTGTAATTTTAGAGGTCCCCCGTCCTGCTCCGCCTGTCGCTGTGCCAAGAAGCCGGACCACTCCTCGCAGCGGCGAAGGCAGAGAGTGATGCCCCCGGAGGCCTCTGGCCGCAGATGGCCGCAGAGCAGAGCCTCGCGGAGTATGATCCACTGCTGACCTCAGTCTGAGGGAAGTGCACGGGAAGAACACGCGCAAAACTGCCGCTGCCAACAAGTCTCGGAGCTGTACATGGTTGTACCCGTGGCCGAACTAGTGGCCGAACCTGAGGATTTGACGGAGCTCGATCGTTGCCTTCCGAGGACTGGCGACCTGGCACAAGACTCTGACACTTAAGTAAACGTTTGAGCACGACAAGACTCAGTTCCATGGTCCATGCCTAGTGATGAAATGCTGGACATGCCAAAGACAGCCGAACATACGAATAGCCATTCACGATGGCCGAAAGATCAAGACATGATCCAACCGGACCTCTCGATGCCTGTCCTGTCTGGCAAAATGCTACAGCAGTGCCGCCGGCACCTGGCTGCCGTCATCATTGCCGCCGTTCTCGGTCAGATCGGATGCGGGATACTACCAGAAAGGAACTGCTGAAACGGCGAATATGATTGTGAAGTTCAACACCTACATTAGTGAGAGTCTATGGACCAGGTCTAGGCTCCATACATTCCTCTTTACCTGAACGCCGACGGTGTCCCGTTCGGCGTGGAAGGATGTTACAATGTTTCTCTTCCCAGCCGCCACTGTACATGTCGATAGAACCTTGACACGTTTCAGCATCCTTGGCCCTGCATCCCACGTGACAGGGCATTCACAGCTGGCCGACAGTGATTACTCTTGGCATCTCAGACAATACAAATACGTGCAATGGAAACGTTCCTCGCACAGATGTTGAAAGCAACGATTTGTTCAATCTGTGGTGGTGTAGGTTGGCTCCAAACTCGCTGGGGGGTCTGTCAAGTCAAAGATACTGAGGACAGCATCTGTGCACCCGGCGAGACTGGGTCTCCTTTTCCCGGGCTCGCTGCCTGGGCTCGCAGTGATATCCCATGACAGGGGACAGGTTGGGGTCCGTACTTCCCCGAAGTCTCAGAGTGGGTTGGTGTCTTGGATCCCCACGGGTGTGCACATTTCCGTCGTTGTCCAGCGCAAAGCGTATTGCCATGCTGCTGGGCGGGATGCACAGGGACAAGAAGTTAACGTGCGATGCAAGGTGATACTGCGACTCTCGAAGCTCTCGGCAGAAGGGGGGCAGACTTGAGCGGTGACTCGCTGATCGTCTGGCTCAGCTTAGGTGCTTCCAACTGTCACTCTCGCAGCCCATGTTATAACGATCGTTGTTGGATAGCTCGATTTCAGTCTTCAATGGTATTTGCTAACAAATACTTGACATGGATGCAGCGAAAAGCCGGCAAACGATGCCGTGATGCAGATCAAACCGGGAGGGCACTTGCTGGGCAAGTTGACAAAGGAACGTTTGATTCGATCCCTGGTAAACTCCTGGATCAATGCTTGTTGGGCTCACACTGACTGCTGCGACAATAGTGTCGTACCCGATGCGGCAAGTTTGGCAAACCTGCCTGGTTGCGCACATTTTCCGCACGCCTTCGAGACCAAGCCAACTCGAAGTCCAACCCTGCATCCCGGTTCGAGAGCACAGGGCCGCAACAGAGTAACATCCGGGCATGGACCGACTTCGGCATACCAGTATCTTCAGCTTCCTTTCTGTGAATCGTCGCATCAAACACATTCAGTCCTTCGGATTGATTAAGAATTTTGAACTGCCGGGCCTCAGACAAATGACCGGTGGCCTATCTGAAGCCGCCTGCAACAAATCTCAAATTCTTTGGCAGTGACCCGATGAGAGGACCATGACCCGGATTACACGCGGCATCTCGCTGTGATACCCTTCTTGGGTGTCACAGGAGAGGTGTGAAATGATGACATACAGAGGCGCTTCCAGAAAGCCTTGCCGGAAGCTACCAGAGGGGCACCTTGGGTGCCCGATTTCTGTCGTGTTCCACGATGTGTGCGATGGAGCTGGCCGGATGTCAGCAGCCAGCAGCGGGGCTCAGCCACTTCCGCAGCACGATGCGATGATAGATGCACGTGGGAGGTATTTGTCTCTTGTACATCACCTCCCGTGTACTGGGCACGCTATATAGGGATTGGGGACTTGTGCCCTCTGCTGTCAGGCAATTCTGAACGAGGTTCACCAAAGCTGTCTATGTCCGTTTCATGCATCGTGCGAACTTGCCCACACAACAAGGAAGACTGCACGTCTATGCCTCTGCCACTGACCCTCACGGTCATCAATGAACTATCTGTGGGTGAGACAGTCCTTCCGAGTTCACACGCACCTCAGCACTTTGCCACACGTCCGTGGGCTCCGACTTTCTGAACCTTAAGTCGCTATGAGACCCAGACGGCTGCAAACTGTTGAGGATCCAGTCCAGGAACTCAACACCGGCCACCTGGCGCAAAAGGTGAAATTTTTTCAGATTACCAAATGGAGAAACGTCTGGCTGTCGTCGTGTAGGAAGGAAAAAGTCTCTGCTCCCCCAAGGCCTTTAACTAAAATTTGGCGCTGTCTGCAACTCCACTAACTCTCATCTCCGAAATCACCCTTACCCGTTAAACCCAAACCCTCAACCGAGCAAGCCAGTAGGTAGCGGACTAGACCGGAAGCGCTTTTGGGCGTTGCGTTCAGCAGCTGGTCGATCTCCTGGATACAGCGCCAGAACGCAGCTCCAAGTTGGCAACTGCAGACTGCAACTGGGTGGAAAATGATCCCGTATGAATTTCCCTATCTCGCAATTGGGTTGTCGTTTTTTCTTGTCATCGGATTACCAATCAAACCACCTGTCATGATGTTATTATAACTTTAGTACGGTGCCTCGTTTGTGGCACAACTTTAATTCTGGAAATGCATCGCTTGAGGTCCTGTGCTTAGTAGTAATACAACGTTAGTACTGAAAATGCTTCGTTCGAGGTCCCGGCTGGATTGTGCTGGGTTCTAGTACTGCTCCTACTAGCTCCTACAACCTGCCACCACCATCACCACCACCACTATTACTGCACTTACACTACTCCAAGTTTTACTTCTTCTACGATTCTGCGTCTACTACTAGTACCGCTACTACCACTGCCACGACTGTGCCGACATGACGATGACGACGACTACTACTACCAGTACTACCAGTACTACCACCACCACCACCACCACGACTACTAGTACTACTACTACTACTACTACTACTACTACTACTACTATTGCTACTACTACTACTACTACTACTACTACTACTACTACCATCTCACTTTATACTAACTAGTAGTGGTAGTACTACGCAGGCACTGCGCAAGAAACATTTGACCACAAACTTCGCCAACACAACCTCGGAGGCCCGCCGACTGCATCTCACGGCATTGCTCATTTTCAAACCCGGCGGTCAGCTGCATGAAGGTGCTGAAGGAAGGGGTTTGAACTGCATTTGAAGGCAGCTGTTGTCGAGAAATGCAATACAAAAGGATGTAGATGTTAACACACATGCATCAGTTCAGCTCTGCAGTACATATTGAAGATGAACGATGCTACGCCCGATGCTACGCCAACAGCCAACCGTGCAGCATAGTGAAAGTTGACTGCAACCGTGCCCTGTTCAGGGCATAGAAGAACATCAGGTCACCGTGCCCGCTGTAGGGACGTGGTGATTTTCAGATACCTCAGATCATCTGAGAAATGAGCAGGATGAGGAGGGCAAGTAAGGTGTGCCGGAGTGAGCAGGATGAGGAGGGTGAGGAGTGTGCAAGTTGAGGAGGGTTAAGAGTGAGGAGGAGGAGGAGGAGGAGGAGGATAAGGAGTGAGAAGAGTGAGGAGGGTGAGGAGCGAGGAGGGTGAGGAGGGTGAGGAGTGAGCAGTTTGAGCAGGGTGAGGAGTGAGGAGGATGAGGAGGGTGAGTAGTGAGGAGGGTGAGCAGGGTGAGGAGTGAGTTGGGTGATGAGCGTGAGAAGTGAGCATGGTGAGCAGTGAGGAGAGTGGTTGAGAAGTGAACTCAAAACTCTTGAAACACTGAACTCTGAACGCAATCTTCAGTAACCTTAAATCCCAAACTCCAAACCAACCTGCAGGCGAGCCGAAATCATCATGGGACCGTGCCCTTGTCAGGGTCGTGGTCATCGTGACGTACTTCTACCTGAGGAGCGCGAGGAGCAGAAACATTACTGCTGGGGTTTCTTCGGGGCGAATAAGTTGAGCATGAATCTGCTACTGAGCGGCCGTTATCACTTCGCAGCAGCTAGGCGCTTCATCTTGCCAGCTGGAATTGGCTCGGGCAGCTTCTTCCGCACGGATTCGAGCAAGTCAGCAGGAAGAGCATCGAATCTGACAAAATACCATAGCGTCTTCCCCGGGTAGTGCGTCCGCAAGTTGTGGGTCCGAGGCCAGAAGACCTTGTCGCGACTCACCGTGAACCATGCAGGGTTGCTCTTCCGCCCTCGTGCTGCTTGGCAAAGTGCAAAGCAGCCATCGTTTTTTAGGCACACATCGAAACTGTGCTCATCCACATGGAGACTGGCTTGGCAGCTGGTGGTGCCGGTCGCGGTGGAGCCTGTGGTGCCCAGTCGTGATGGAAGGAGGCCGCGCGCGGCAGCCTTGTACCACGACTGGGCACCACAAGCTCCACCGCGACCGGCACCACCAGCTGCCAAGCTAGTTCTGAGCTAGACAGCTTCTATTGATCTATTGCATTCGGTTTGCTGCCTATTTTGCTCTATCATTTGCTGGAGCATCTCGCCCATGAGGGCGAGCATGCTGCTCTGCACGCTCACCTCACTGCCTCCTTCCAAGTCTGTTCCGAATCCTTCTTCTACTTGACGAGCTGCAAGGGAGGGGCAACACTGGCCTCATGCCGAGTCGCCTCTTCCACTCCAGGCGCTGCCTCTTCCTCAGGTGCCTCCACTTTTATTTCCCTGGCTCAGCCTAGCCAGCTCCTGTGAAGCAGCCGGCTCCGTTTCGACCACAAGAACTCTTTGTCGTCGCTCTCAGCTGCCTCCCCTTCACTCTCTCCGCCCTCCTCTTGCTCCGGAACTGCCTCCTTACCCAAATCGGGGCTCGGCATGTGGTTATCCACATCTTGCGTGGCGAGTGGCCGAGGCGCCACGGAGTCATGGGAACTCTCCCCTGCACCACTCCCAAGCACCTGCATGGAGAACCCCATCTGCAACCTCCGTCGCTTGGACTCCTGAGTTGCCTGGCCAGCCTCCCTCAGAAGGGGTTCCTGCGAAGCTTCGTCTCTGAGCTGCTCCTCCATCCTCTCGCCGAACAGGCCTAAAGCTTTTCGTTGCTCTAACTGAAGAAAATACAACCTCGAGCCGGAGCATTCGAGGAGGCAGTACTGAAGAGGCCCATCATGGAAACCTGGTGGTGGAGTTCATGGCAGGAAGCAACACAACCTCAAAGAAATACCCAAACATAAATTAAAACGTACCAGTTTCTGCAAACATGCCCAAAATAAGATGTGCGCAGGGCTACAGTTCTAGCTTCCTCGGCCGCATAGGGCCTGATGACCCAGAGATCCATCACACAGACAGCAGTGGTTCTGTAGGTGCTGGACCCCAACTGCTACACTAGTCCTACACGAGGACCTGCGGGCTCAAGCACCGGGCACCAAATCAAGGGTACCCGTCGCTTGGACCGTCATTGTCCAAGGAATCCCAGTTGAAAACTCAACAGACTCCAAGCCCGACTTCAAGCCCACAGTTGCGAGTCCAACGCATTGACGCCTTCTCCTTGAGCGTCGGGTCGATGCATTGCAGGAACTTGCGCAGGTCCTGTGCTCCAAAAAACAGAAGATGAAGCAACGCCGTTGCCCAAACCGGGTCGGAAGCACCTCCACCTTCAGGACGCCCTCAGGGCCTAGGGCTCGCTGGAAGGTCCTGGCAACTTTGCATGTACTTCCAAACAGTAGCCTTGAACTGTAGCATTAGTTGGGGGCTGTTGCCGCGGTTGTTGGTAACAGCAAGGCAACCAGCGAGTACATGCATGTAGGAGCATTTTCATGATCAAATCAAGGACAAGGCAGGCTGTGGTGACGGGTCCAGATCTAAAGGGATGCTGAACTTGCCATGTCTGCTGACATCACCGAGACAGACACATCTCATGCGGCAGACCGGTTAAGGACCGAGCCCCTTGACATCCTCCCTCGTCTTTGCCTTGTCCGCAGGCGTTTCGCAGCATGGAAACGGTCGCATGGACATCACAACAGCTTTGTAGATGCACCAGCACAGCTTGCCACCCAGACACAAGCAAGGTGGCACCAATTCGCTTTGCACCGAGCTTGACACAGTCTGCCTGTCGAGTTGACCCTCACACATGCACAGCTACAGTCCGCGTCCAGCCAGCAGATTCCGAGAATTCTAGGCTAAGAGGGTGACAGAATCTGCGAGCTTTGGCCTGCAGGTCGCCCTCGCCATTGCTCGGGGCCAGCAGGAAACGTGCGGCGGCTGCTCCCAGCAACTGCCAAAGAAGCTCCATGCGCTCACGCGACGCTCACGCGACGCTCACGCGACGCTCACGCGGCTACCCGCTCACCGACTCCGAGCCTGCACCGTGGCCTGCAAGTCTCCTTTCAGGGTCGGATCGGGTCTTCTCCGAGGCACAAAGCCTTCCCCCCTCCCCCTCCCTCACCTTCCCGAAGCGTCGGAAGCAGCTTCTGCTCGATTTGGGAGACCTCCGGTCTCCGGAAGTTTCGAAACATCTGAGCCGAGCCACGCCGAGGCCAATGCATCCACCATGTCCTCGGAGAGGTAGGACAGGTGGGACGGATTTTCCAGCAGGAAATCCTGCGCCCAGAGCTCAAAAATGTTCGCCATGTGCTCCTGGTGTTTTGACTCGGAGTCTGTCGCCGGCCTTCTGCGCTCGCTCATGACTACTTTCAGACTTGGAGTTTGGGACGGAGGCGACCGGCTGCTCCGCACGCGGACCCGGGAAGTCGCACATGGACGGCGGATTTGCACAGCCCGCAAGCCCTGGAAGCCCTGAACCCTTCAAACCCCAGACCCAAGTCCAAAAATCAGAAGCCCCCATTCAACTTTTGGGAAGCAAGCACTCTTGAGTCACACGGGCTTAAACTGCGCGACTGTGCGTGTTTGAATGTTAGATCTTAGAGCTTGCACCTGTATTTGGGCTGGAATCGCAAGTTCTTGAGTCGAGATACTGGTCGATGGCGCAGCCAGTGCTCGAACCGCCCGTCCTATGCCTTTTGAAGAGCTTCTCGGTTAGTGATCATAGCGCCGCTTCGATTTTCGAGACCCTATTTTCGCAAGATCCGAGAACGATGGGCATCGCCCCCGACCCTAACCTGCCTCGTCGCTGCTCGGCACGACCACCATTCCCAAGTTGTCTCTGAAGGGTTGCTCGGTGTTCTTGTAGAGCCTTGGCTTGTGCAGGCACTGTTCCGTCGCCTCACCTGCAAGGCTTCTGGAGGCTCAGAGCTTCAGAGCTGGTAGCAGTGTGGCCAGTGGCCCTGTGTGGCCTTGGCTGAGGATGCAGCGGGAGATCTCGGGAGCTGGAGGCATGGAAGACGCAGAGCTGACGTCCTGCCAGGGCCAGGCAAAGCTATCGAAGTCGGCAAAAGGGGCTTCGGACTTCGGGCACAGCCGATGCGACACGGCACCTTCCATGGAGTTCGGGAATGTCGCGGCCAGAGTGTCGCGGCAACTGCGTGCAACCTGCCGTCTGCACCAGAGAAAAGAGTGCAGCCTTGGCCTTTTTTGGGCATCTTGTGGCTCGCAGACTGCGGATGGCAGCTGCCTCAGACGTTTCAGCTCATCGCGCCCGGTTGTTTTTTGTACACCCGCATAACTTCCATGTATTGGAGTAGCAGGAGTTGTCACGCAGCTTCTCCCTGCGATCGCAAGCCCCGATCCAAGCCCTTCCTGAGCGGAGAGGTCACTGCAATCCTCCGATAAACTCGGACCTCAGGCCCCCGAAAAGCTCGGGAGCCCTCTCAGCTGCCTTGGGGCGGGAAATCTAATGATCAGAACACTGCAGGTTTCTAGGAATTTCCATGGTGGGGACAGTCAGATCTCCTGTCCCGCCGCGACTGACGACTGGGTCCCGTAAACTGAAACCATGCCCTATCTGAGCTGTGTGATCAGATCAGGGCGATTTTTAACAAAATGGCAGTGGGCCCTTATTTGCAATGCTCTGGTGCAGTGGCTTCGTACATGAAAGATGTACGCCTTTTCAGCACATGCTCAACCTTCAATCGGATAACTCGAAACATTTCACAACCAAGTCCAAAGTGGCCGGAACATACTATTGAGAGCGCAACTGTTTCTGTAAAGGGCTTCTATCAACTGCGACATCACAGCGCTCGCGGATTTCGCTTGGTCCGCAGCTTGAGCTTCTTGCGCCGTTGGCGAATTCATCCACATAGGGCAGGTCGCAAATCAGTGCAGACATATATATGTATAATCTATATATATATATATATATATACATTTTGCATATGTTGCTCCAGCATCTGTCCATTCCATACATTGCAGTATATCTTGGTCACGAACACTGCTACACTACCCAACCTGCCCTCTAGAACAAAGCTCCAGGAGTCTTCTTCGCTGCGCGCCGGTTTCGGATGCCCCTTTGCTCAAACAAGAACACAAAATACGGATGTGCTTTCGTTGTTTGTGTGTGTGCGCATGTTAATCCACCCTCCAAGCAACTTGAAAGACCGGAGAAACCCTCGCGTCAATGTTCTTTCAGAGCACGGAAGGCTCATCGCCAGGCCCTCCTTGAACACTGGACCGACATTCCAACAAATCATTACGAGCATCCTCAACCCTATGTCGTCCCGGCCGGGACGGAACAAGCTCAACTTGGTCTACACGCGCATGGACATGCTTCGAACTACCATCTTGGCATGTGAAAGCCGGCATCAGAAGCCAGTGCCTTCGGGGGATCTTCATCCCCTTTGGCGCAAGCCCTGTGATCAGATATGGAGAAACGAGTTGCGTCTTGCGGCGCAGACTGGAACGTCGCGGTTTTCAAAAGTGCCTTAACTCCAATGTCGCTGCACCATGGCAGGAGTCAATATGAGTCAATCGTGGTTCTTGTCTTAACCCAGAAAAGGACCGCCGCTCGGTTCAGGAACTGCCTCGAAGCTTTCGCCACACCGGTTTGGACGGTCGCGTTTCAGACACGAGCATCACTCGGTAGCCCCTGCACAAGAGAAGTCTTCGTCACTTGCAAAGCATCGCAAGGGCTGTCATCTCTCGCAACGCTTCCGTTGAGAAGAATTCGCAATGAAACCCGGATCTTGCCCCTTCAATGCACATCGAAGGCGAGTGCCCACAACAACTGCGGCAATGCCTCCCTGTCGTCGGTGTGACTTGAAACCTTGGAGTGGAGACCCCTGAGGCATGAGAACTGAAAGAGCCAACACCATTGCGCCGGTTGCACAAATGTCGGAAATTGCATGCAGCCTGAGGATGAAAAAAAAAAAACGGCCACACTGCTGAGCTTCGGTCTTGTCCGGCTTGGACTCAATGAAATTCCTGTGGCAGATTCGGGATGGTGAAGGTATGCCAGAAAGTGGGAAGCGACTTTCAGAATCGATGGAAACAGCAACGGGCCTTGCACCCGCAAGGGCTGCATTTACTCAATTGATTGCATGAGATGCAAGGCATCCGTGGTAACGAGGTTACGACACTACCAAGGGATCTGCGACCAAGGCAAAACCCGACATGAAAAGAACCCGATGTGGCCTCACGGTGCCCAAGGTGGCATTGAACCGTTCCTGATGCACGCGACGCCAGCCAACTCTGCTCCAACCGAATGCTTGTCTTCTGGCCCTTTTTGGCTTATGCCAAAGCTCGTTCCAGTCGTCGACCCAAACGTAGCCACCATTGCCAGGCCTGCATCCGATCTCATGCGATCAATCGTGCTGCCATGCACACGAGGTGAAGAGAGGACTCCTGAAAAGCGAACGATGCGGCATGACTGCTTCCTGTGATATATGCAGTGATAGCTGATCTCTCGAAGGTGCACAAGTCTGTCAACATCCGCACTGAAGCCCACAGAAGTCGTAGCAGAGCATTTCGAGATAGTAATAGTATTTCTGAAACCCGGCGTAGCCCCGGACCGCTTCAGCTGGCTGATGATCTCCCGCAGGGCTGCTTCGGCGAGCTCGTCCTGAAACCCACAAATCAAGCAGATGGCGCTGAATTGAAGTCCCTGAAGCGCTGAACAGGTCCTTCCGGTTCGTAGCCGCCTTGCGGCTCTCGTCAGACACCTGCAAGGTGAGAGCAATCTGTTTCAGCTTCTGTAAAGCTTCTAAGGCTTCGCTTCTCCCTCACATGAAACTCTGATGCTCATGGCATCTCGCAGCCTCCTGAACTTGTTCTTTAAAGTCCGCGCGCGCAACCTTGGCAACAACCGGCCCGAACTCGGCTGAAACGATTGACTTGGTTGAGTACTTCAATCCTCAAAGCGCTGGGCAGCTCGGTTGGATAGCTTACTTAAATGAAAATACTCAAAGCCATGCGGCCTCTTTGATATCCAAGTCCCAGGGGCCCCTGGCCCTTGTAGTGTCCCTGTTCCCATCGAGGCCCATGCAGGCTTCCAGACTGCGTTCGATGAAGTCTGCGCCTTCAACGGCAGGCATTTCGCAACAATTTCTGCGAATCCTGCTGGATTGATCCACTCCGCTCTTGCGCACTTCCGTTTCCGAGCAAGCCGCAACACAAGAGTGTTACAGAGGCATTTGAGAGCACCAGACATGGGAGTCCACAGCAGCTCACTGCTGAAATTTCCGCTAGCAACAGCAAGGCGCTTCTGCATGACCGCCACGAGCTGCCCTAATTACATCACGGGCCCGCCACATCCCCTCGCTGCCAATCCCAGTTCACCCCATCCCAGAGAGAGAGTGAGACAGATGGAAAGAGTCTGATGGCCTTTGGCTGCCGCGGCTTCGCTTCCACGTCCTTACGAGATCAGGCGGCGGGCATGGAATTTAACACTGATTAACACTGCTGACTGAGCGAAGCTCCTGGGGCGAAGAAGCGAAGTGAGCTGACCCAGAGTCTGCCTGCAGGGCAAAGGCTCCTTGAGTCGGGCACCCTGGCCGCAAAAGATGCTGGGTACCGTGCCGGTGCTGGCATGCTTGCTGGCTCCTGGCACGAAGGGGCACCACCATCAAAGCACGCTAAGACTGCACAAACTGACGGTTTTTCGGCTTATGTCCTGTGCTGAATCCTCGCTGCCAGTTTGGAGAGGTGTCCGTCGAGCCCTGCAAGTGCAAGGCGGTCCAAGTTTTCCGCCAAGCTCATGTCGTGAGAAGCGGGCCAGCGCTGGACTCGAACTTGACTGCCTGTCACGGTTTCTTTTCGACGGAATAGAGGACCAAATCAAGGCGCAGAGAGAGTCAAACGGCTTGTGCGTAGAGGCTATGCCGGCTATAGGTTTGAAGCAACAAGCCCATAACATGCCTGAGCTGTCGTTGCGCTCAGGAATAAGTCGCTGCCACTCCATGTCGGGCCTCAGATTACGTATTCTGCTTGCCTGCTCTGGCAGCGCCTCCATAAGCTTCAGTCGTGCGCATCTGTCATCATCCAACCAACCATGCTGGGATGCTGACCGCTGGCCACAGCCTTGTTCGGCTGCGAAGCTTTCAACGGTTACCATCGTAGGACGTTTTCAAACAAACACTGCAAAAGGTGTCGATCGGCGGGTCTGGTACACGGTGGCAGCCGAGGCACCTGGGTCGTGCCACACGAGGCTTGCTGGCTCAGACGTCCAGTCGACCTCAGACCTCAGGAACAGCGATCGCGAGCTTGCGAGGGGATACGGTCGGTCAGACACAACTTACATCAGCCATCCAAGCACCGAGCAAATCTAGGAAATACAGCCTGTCCTTTCCCCACCACAGGAACCTGAACAAGAATTCTTCGACAGCTCCGTATCATGCTGCATCAGCAGCTTGGTCCAAAGTCTGCAGGTTTGTTTTCAAGTAACTTGACCAGGCCAGGGTCAACAGCCCAACTGTCAAGCTGTACGTCGGATGCTTCTTGTGATGGGACTCTCAAGCGCCCCGAAGCGGCTGCATCATGAACAAATGTAGGCTTCCGTGGAATGTAAGCATGCCTGAAAACATGCATGCGTGTATGAAATCTGATGAAAATCAGCTATGTACAATCAGCTGTACACGTATACATCTCCTTATGCATACGTGTATGTGTACATGTACATATATACATATTATAGATATATACACATGTAGATACATACATATATACATATTATGTGTATATACATATATAATCATTTTATCTATATATGCATATACAAACGCGCGTGTGTGTGTGTGTGTGTGCGTGTGTGTGTGTGTGTGTGTATGCAAACATATGTCTGTCTGTCTGTTTGTCCGTCCGTCTGTCTGTCCGTCCGTCCTGTCTGTGTCTGTCTGTGTCGGTCTGCGTCCGTTTGCGTCTGTCTCTGTCTGTCTCTGTCTGTCTGTCGGTGTCTGTCTGTGGCATAACACCTGGTCGATGATTTTGCTCTCTTCGCGCCGATATCAACCACGCTAGTGTAGGAATAGTTTCTTATCCGACCCAAGAACCAACAACGAAGAACCAAGATTCCCTGGACACTTTTTGGACAGCATCTTGGTTCCCACACTTGGGCCTGGCCCCGAGTTAATTAACACGGTCCCCATAAGCCAAAAACGAAGAAGCAAAATTCGCGGAAAAGTTGTTTGGCGATGACACGGTCCCGAGGAACCAAAAAAAATTACCCAAGACCCAAGGTTCACGGAAAAGATTTCTTGCAAATCTTGTTCGGCTCGTGCTAATTAACACGGACGGAACCAAGAACCAAGATTCCCGGAAAGGCTTTCGGGCGAATCTTCGTTCCTCGACCTCGTCTTGAATAAGGGCCCAAGCCTGGGAACCAAGATTCGGCAGAAAACTGTTCCAGAAAATCTTGGTTCTTGGTTCCTGGGGCCCGTGTTAGTTAGCACGGTCCGTGCTAATTAACACGAGCCCAACCCTGGGAACCAAGATTCACCAGAAAACTTGTCCGGGAATCTTGGTTCTTGGTTCCTGGGGTCCCTTTTAGTTAGCACGGTCCGTGATGATTAACACGAGCCCAACCCTGGGAACCAAGATTCACCAGAAAACTTGTCCGGGAATCTTGGTTCTTGGTTCCTGGGGTCCCTTTTAGTTAGCACGGTCCGTGATGATTAACACGGATCCAAGCGTGGGAACCAAGATTCACCAGAAAACTTGTCCGGGAATCTTGGTTCTTGGTTCCTGGGGTCCCTTTTAGTTAGCACGGTCCGTGATGATTAACACGGATCCAAGCGTGGGAAGCAACGATCCTTTCAGGACCAGTACCAAAGAGTCAATCTAGCCCGCCTCGCACAACCATTAGCACCCACCAGACACGACCTCTCCCATTGACTTCGTGATCCATGGTTCACGGCCCGTCTTGTTCACTACGGGCCTAATTACTCGTAGTGGTCTTAATCATCATTACTATTCGTAGTTCTATCATAACATTCAGAGATCTATATCACAAACAATGTTGTTACGTAGTCTTACTAAGCCGTCAAAAACGCCGCTGCAGATCCTGAACCCGATTATACCGTGTCCGCGAACTTTCAAGCCACGGATCCATACCGGGAAATTTAGTAGCTACTGCCAGGGGTCTTTGTTGCGGTGCAAGAAGGTCTCTTCCGTAAGCTCCCAGCTTAGGGTCAGGGGCTTTAGGTTGAAGATCTAGGGAAACAACGTTGTTTTAAATGATTGGGGCTTTGGCTAGCTATAGTTCCCGGTTTAAGCTGAAAACATTCAGTTTAAGCTTTTCAGGGCCTCAATGTTCAATTTGGGATTTACGGCCAATCTTGTAGTCTAGCTGAGTGATTTAAAGTTGTCATTTAAGATCTCAGATGAATGGCTGCATATTGGCGTCGTCTGAAGTCCTACCAGAACGATTACGGGTCCATGTACCATCGTACGGCTTATGGCTGAGGGGGCGTACCTATGAAATACGAAGCCTGGAAATGTTCTAATGTAGGGGTCGGACAGGTAAGCGGCGAAAGTGTCCCAACATACTGATGCTATCACAGTATAATTGTTATTCAGATCCTTATATTGTCAATTCAAGTTCGCCCGAGTCGGCATCTGAACGAATTTAGTGGGACGTTGAGAACCTTGGTAAGCTTAAAGGTTACGCGGACGCTGAAGATAATTTGTTGCTTGATTACGGCAGGGTTACTTTCTGTGGTTCCATCTGTTATTTCCGGATTTTAGTACACAGTGTGTACGAATGTAAAGAGAGTTTACGAGACGTTCGATTGCCAACATTTGCCAACTATGAAGACTTTTATGGCAAGATGACAATGAAATCCTGGTGCATTTGCGGGTTTAAAGCGCACACTCTAGAAGTAGTTCACAGCCATAATGCAGTCCATCGATCCATGCATACATCTGGATGGGTGCTTGTATAAACAGTCGTTCGAGTATACCATCTCGGACGGTGTTTTGCGACGGTGTCCCATTTACATGTGCAAGAGTAAAGGAAAGTTTGAGACGGCGCTGGCCTTTCTCGAATGTCCAAGTACAGCGGCACATCGGGCTGTGCAGGTGAATCCTGCAGTGTCGCAGCGAGAGGAATTTGGATGCGATATCCGATCTCAAATCAAGCATACTTACGGACACAAGCCGAAAGTAAATGTGCGAGCTAAGCACGGCTCAAATCCAGAAACACCAATTGGGACATGCAGCGGCCCTGAAAGCTCGTGGAGTCGTGGAGTGCCGTCGGAAATATGCCTCCCACCGCACACTTCCTATCCTGGTGCACGCGCGTGACGTGGATTTCATGGAGGTCCCCGAAGACCACCTGGTACTTGCAGCCTCCCGACACATTCCAAGAGTGGACGCAAACAAGCAATTTGCCTCTCTGCGGGTCTGCGTACAAAACTTTGAAGACAAGGACTCCGGGTCTTCGGAAGGTTCACGCAGCGCTGCTTCGACGTAGCTCGGAGGGTCGACGAGTGCTTTTAGCCACGGGAAGCTGGAGACACAGGAGCCGTCGGGCATGTGGCGAAAAGTCGTTTCAACATGATCGGGAAGCTGACCGATGGGTCGCTGCCCACTCGAGAAGGAAGGGCCGTTCTTGCTTCCCTTAGCACTGCGTTTGTGCTCACTCTTCGAAGTGCTTGCAATTGCTGCTACCTCGCAAGACCTGACCCTCGATTGCGGCATATTGCGGCGGACCTGTCTACCACCTCGCAACATCGACAGTCCGAGCATGTCTGAGTCTAACTAAGTGGTATTCCCTTGTGGTCACGGGGCCTTGCCGCCCGAGCCATTCACCGGCAAGCTGCTTCTTCAGAGAAGTCAAATCTACCTCGGGAGACATCTGATCCCAAACAGATCCAAACAGGACGACGCTGCAAAAGATACAGTAGGAACTGCGTGCAGCGAAATCGAGCTTCAACGAGCCGAAGATGGGATGCCGGCATCTTGTGGCGTTGGAGGCTGAGATGCCGTTAGCTCCTCGCAAACTTCTGTTTCTCGTTGACTCCACGCAGGAAACCCGGATCTTACCTCACTGAAGTGGAGACACATCATCTCACGTCTCACGGGTCAACCCCAGCTTCTCTGTTGCCGTGCTAGCAGCTGCTAGCAGCTATAGCACAGCAGCAATGGCCCACCTGCCTCCGAGTTTGCTTCCGTGCTTGGTGTCCGACAAAGCTCCTGCACCTGGAATGTGAGCACCCTGGCTGAAACCCCCTACTAGTAGAGTACGATAGGAGTTCATCATACGGTGACCTGGCTGGTCTCGTCCACGCAGCTGTCCTCGGAACTCGAAATGCCCAGGCCTAGACTCCAACAAGCTTGAACAGATTCCACGAAATTCACAAGCTTCTCCGAGCCGCAAGGGCCAGCGACTTCCTGTGGCGCTGGTCTTTGTCGGGCCTCTCTAAAGGGCACAGGACATCGATCGGAATCGAAGACCCAAGCACAATGATGTACCGTGCTGCCGAAGCATGTGCTAAGACTGGAACGGGTCTGCCTGAACGCCGGCCTTTGCTGTGGAATGAACTGACCAGTGTTGACGACTTCCGCGGTCGCAGTCCGACACCGACGCTAAGGGCCAGACAGAGTAGCATCTGTCACAGATCAGCTGCCTGTGCAGACTCCTTTCTGCCTACTCCACTCTACTCCACTCATATTGATGGTATTGATGCAACCGCTGAGCGGAACTGCGAGAGACACAAAGGCGTGAAAGCACATGCTGAAATTGAACTGTCTTGATATCTACTTTGCCGCTGATGAGCCGACCCCCGAACTGATCCCAGGCCTTGCCGTCCCGTCATCGTGGATCGGCCTCGACGACTCGACGCAGTCTTAGCTCAAAACTTCCCAAACCTCCCACTGGCCCTGTCAAAGCTTTTTTTGGAAGAGTGGTTACTTGAAGCCTCAAGCCGGGCTAGTTGCAAAGACTTTGGATGTGGGCTCTGAAAGCAGCTCTTCAATTGGTCGCTCGACGTATGTGCACGAGGAGCCGCTTCGCGGCGCGACAGCTTCTAGAACTACTTGCCGCAATGCGCCGAATGTACCGGCCTGGTGCACTGGGAGCAGCGAAGCTTCTTCTTCCCGCTGCCGATGAGCCCCTCCCACTGTTTCGACCGATCCTCCGCAATCTGTCAGGTTCAGGACGTAAAAGCACCAAATCTTTGCAACAAAGAGTGGCACATGACATGGCAACCGGGTTCCTCGGCGGGCAACTCCTTGAGAATGCCCTGGCTGGCACCCTGCAATTGAATTGGACAGCCCACAGCGATGGGCTCCGGTCCCTCCGGTCCCTCCCTGCCTTTCGGTCCAAGAGCCGCTGCAGCGCCCCCCGGTCCAGACCGCGGCCAGCCTGGTAGGTCGCAGGCATCTCAGCACGGCCTCAGCTTGAATCTTGAACTCCGCATTTCACATGCTCCGCTCTGCCAGGCTCGAATCATCCAAGGCTCCGACGACAAAACTTGGCTTGGCGTGGTCCGATGCTTGATGGGCACGTCTGCTTCGACCACTAAGCTGCAAGCGTCCCGGTGTGTGGCTGTGCTGTGTGACGAAGGTACGAGTAGGGCCAAGCCCGGCTGCTCGGACTACGAGGGGGTGGGGTCCTGGGCTGGCTGTTGAGCATGGTCTGCGCGATCATACCGAAAAGTCCAGGCGTATTGATTGCGATCAGACTGTTGCCCGGAATCTACGCTCAAGCAAGCCAAGGCTGCGCGAGGTTTGGGCCGAACATCACACCAGGCATCAGAATCCAAAATCTTACTGGCAGTGCTGCACTGCTGGCCCATAGCTGCTTGTCAATCGGACAACCGCGGCCTGGATGGCCGTCGGTTTCCTGGTCTGTCTGCAAGGCTTGGAAACAAATCTTGAAAGCTCTTAGCTGACGAGGAGCCTCGCATCGTCGTGAATAGCTGTATATAGAGTACGTGTCCCAACGTAGCGCACTCAATCTTCGGAAGCTTCAGAAGTCTACTCTTGCACACAGCGTGATGCCCGGAACATGAAGCAAAGCAGGACGGCCGAAACAGCTGCGAGGCGGCTTAGGCCCAGGCCCCTCTTGAGAAAGCTCCCAGGACGCAACTTCCAGAGACTCGTGGGAGTTCGCCTCGAAACTGAAACTGTATAAAGATTCCTGCTGCCGCCCCACTGCGGTTTTCTTATGTTTTCTTGAAGCAAGCGACAAACATACCTCAACTGTCTGTGTTGTCCTTGCAGAATCTTGCACAGGATGTTCGCAGGTGGCGAACTTTCCACTCAAGATCATTCAGATGCGCGGCAAGCGCGAGTATGCTGGCTGCAGGAAGATCAGGGCGCGGACTAGATGTTGTGCCACGCGCAGGCGGAACTCGCGGCTCCTGGGAAGCTCTCAAGGCAGCTCGGCCATGGCATGTCACGGCAACTACATGAGCTCCGATGAGCACCCGACAGCCCAGACGTGCCACGGCCGGAGGACTCGACTCTGGCTTCCTGGCCCAACGGTTGGGGCCCAGCGAACATCCCTGCTGCCGTCATTACGCATTGCAGACCGCTGCGCATGCAGTGACAAATGCTGGCACGGATGACGTTCCAGGGCCTTGGCCGGAAGCTTACAGGTGCAGAATCAGAGTCAATAGACATTTTCTCTTCTCCCGAATGCGAGCAAGCTGCGAGAGCCACATGCCGACGACCTCGTGAGCCAAAGCTCCGAACTCACGAGCTATATCGGATGATGCATGTGATTGGCAATGGCACTGCCGGGATCCTGGCCCTGTAGCCTCTCTGTTCTAGTCTGTCCCTCGCCTGCCGCAAACGAAACACGAAGGAAGGATCTATGAAACCAGAACAGCCCGCCTTCTCCAGCAGATCTACATGGCACTTCATGGCGGGCGCCATGGCATCACTGAGAATGAGCAGCGCCAGGGTGCCCTGAGGAAGGCGAGGCAGCTTGGGCAGGCTGGGGCCTTTGGTGCAGTAAAGGAGTGATTTGTTGCAACTTAGCTGGCTCCCTTCGGGTTTTAGCTGCAGTGTGGGAAGCCCAAGCCCACGAGGGCCTCGTGGTCATAGGCCAAAAGCTTCTGCATCAGCTTTCCGGCGGGCCAAGCGCTGTCCGGGACCTTCCGCTGACAGATGCAGATGTTGGCTTTCTCCTTTGCATATCTTGCATGCTTCTCCCACTGCGCCGATTAAGCGATGGCATTGCCTGAACATACAAGCTTCTCACAACCGATTCCACCTGTGGCAAAAGCTTCGCAAGATCCTGCTCGAAGGCCATTTCCTCCTGACCGAGAGATGGCTCAAGATGGGCACCGAAAATGGAAAATGATGCCGCTCTCCTCACGGGTCGGCCTCAAGACGAGCCGCAGAACATTCTCTGGAAGAGCCTGCCAAGAACCCGCAACAGGCCTCCCTACTCGGCCATCTGCTACGGTAATTATGCCTCGACGAACGGACAGCACTGCATTTGCATTCCTCACCCTCACTCCCAACCCGCAACTTTTGCCTCCGCTACGAAGGCCACGTCGCCACCTGCCCGGCTGAAGCTGCCCTATAGAGCCTATAGCCTATAGTCATACAGCTGGAGCCGTTTCACGCGTGACCAGATCTGTTGCCAGCCATCGCGAGCCGCTTGCACCGACCAGCAGAAAGGGTGCCTTTGATGGCTTCGGCAAGCTGCTCTGAGGTCAGCTTCCCACCCTGGCATTTCAGCGAGTGATGGCACTGCAGGCGGACATGGAACAGCCGGCATGAGAACCTACAGGACTTATGACCTACGCCGTCCGCAAATCAGACTTCTGCATGCTGCCAACCTGCCTTTCCAGTCGGTGCTTCGGACACGTAGACTTGTTGCAAGGGGCGCTCGAGAAGAAACTCCTCACGACAGACAGACCCTCGAATCTGCATGTCACCGGAAGACACTCGAAACGAGTCACGAGTCCTCCTCGCCTGGCTGCGGCACGACCACCAGCCCGAGCATCTCCTGCAAGGCAGTGGCTCAAGCGCTCAAGCCAACACCCATTGCGCTGCCGCCTTTCACCGTGATGATGCCCAAATCGCTCACTCAAGCTCCAAAGCTTCAGCCCAAAACCGCGTGGGGTGACCCTGAACACTCGAGGTCGCCCATGTCACAGGTGGAGAGGGCGGGTTGAGAGGCCACAGAACTGATTACACGTTCTGGCCGTGCCTGGGGTTTGAGGTTCTGGTACTTCTTGGTGTCATCCGCACCACAAACAGCCACCACCTCAGCAACACTGGTTTAGTGGAAGGTTGTCCGAAAGCTCCTGCGACTTGCCACAACATCTCGCAGCCAAAACAACGTCATTGACGATCCGAATCCTCTGTTGAGAACTTGCAATCAGAAGTGAAAGAACGCTGCAAGTACAGGGTGTAGCAAAGAGAAGTAGACCAAACGAGAGGTCGCAGTTTCTGAAGGAAAGGATGGCTTCGGTCGTCGCGGCACATGGGTTGCCTGCCGGAAGCAGCCTGGGCTCCCGCACCCTCACCCGCGGAGCGGACTTTGAGCTGAGACCCGTCTCCTCTGTGCGTCCCACTCAACATATCAAGCGCCTTTGAGACACATTGGAACCAGCGACCTCGAGATAAAACAGAAAAAAACACTAAGTGCAGAAAGGTTGAACATACATACATGGATACGAACTAACAAACGTATGTGTATGTGTACATATATATATATATATATACCACATGGGTTCCTGCATGTACAGTATATATATATATACAACTATACTTAATCAGTCCACATGTGTTGCACGTGACTCAAAGGAACGAGCTCGCGAAGCATGAACCATTGTCTTGAAAGTCCGATCGTTTTCTGCAGCCGGCATGTGGGCCTGTGAGGCTGGGGGATCATGGAATATTTCTAGTGGGGAATGATGGCATGTTCTAAAGTGTTACTTGCTTATGACTTGCATCCCCCAAGTTTTGTTGCCTCGCAACTTTCGGAGACAGTTGCCATCCATTCGTGGACCCATCAACAGATCATCACAGACACATTGCTTTACATCTGTCTACAAAACTAACGACACTTACCTTTAGATCAATTCTCACATCTATAGTTCCAACATTGGAGGCTTGGCTCACTAGCTCCTCGACGAGAGCCTTTCGCAAGCTCTCCAGCACCTCACGCTCAGTCTGGTTCGGCTCTAAGTTGCGTATTTCAACGACAGTTGGGTAGCAAGATCAACCCGGAGTCCATCACTCTTTCCACATCTTCCGACAGAAACTAGCCAGTCTTTGTGTACCGAGCAACTGAACTACAGCTCGAACCCATCATGGCCTCCAGCTCCTTGACTGGCTCCTGGCGAAGGGCCCAGGCTGATGCCTGAAGCAGGACCAAGTAAAGAAGTGCGCCTGCCACATCGGAGCCACGCTAGCATGCTGAAAGCCTCCAGGAGTCCGTCTGCCTGCACGGCTTCACGGACAGCTGCCAGGCGAAATGCAGGAGACCTGGAGGCATTTGAGGCTCCAAGCGGAGGTGCTGCAGGGTGAAATTGCAGACTCGCACATGCAAGGAACGTTTCGTGAGACCTTCGGCGTTAGGTGTCCAGAACTGCTGAAATCAGGCCAGGAATCAATTGTCCACCAGCCATTGGCGCCAACCATCCTTCGTGCTGCTCGAGGCAGTCATTTCAAACAAAACGGTCTGCTTGCTCCGTGTATCTCGATGTGAACATCCGAGTGAAACATTGCCGGGCCTGCCAAGACGTCGTAGCCGGCACGTTCCAATCGCTGCACAGCCTCAAGGCATCGCGGGGCTGGCACTTCTCCTAAAACCTGTCGGTATCTCACGGGCGCAGGCTAATAGGACTGCACAGCTGCAGGCACACGAGTGAGCGCCTTGTTTTGTCTATACAGGCGCGATTGTTCCTCCTGGAACTGTTAGGACCTTAAGGTAAATCAGCTACCAGGGTTCACATGTGAGGAGAATTGAAGGCATTTCCACTTCAAAGAGCACTCCGCCAAGGTGATGAGTCACATCGTGGAAAGACTGGTCCAACCATGTCCGACCGCTTGTACTGCTGCTGGCAGGCACAGCCCCGAAGAACAAGTCACCCTGCCAGACAGTTCGACTTGATGACTGTATGAATACTGTATGATAGATGACGACCAGTCATCGTACACGGATAACTCACATCTGCAAGCTGTCTAGTTTGAGTGTTCACTAGTGATTAAGTGGAAGTGTCTTCAAACTGACACCTTGGCAAGGCTTCCGTAAGAGGCCCCGCGAAGGTGACCAAAACAGTTGCATGCTCAGAGCGGCAAAGTGAAGGAAGGACAGGCAGCATCATTCTGAAGAGGCACTAAGATTCTGGAACTGCTGCCACGAACGCTTGGGCGTTGGATCCAGTAAAGCTAGGGATTGCGACCTTGACTCTTCTCTTCATTCATGCTATTACTCGACTATATCACCTGTGCGTTTGTGTGTGTGTGTGTGTGTGTGTGTGCGTGTGTGCGTGTGTGCGCCGGCTGTCTGCATGCCTGCGTGTCTCTGCCCGTCTACCTGCCTGCCTGCCTGCCTGCCTGCCGCCTTGTCTGCCTGCCTGCCTGCCTGTCTGCCTTCTGTCTGTTTGTTTGAGTGTCTGTCCTTGACATTATTTTACCCTCTTTGCCTTCTGCCGCACTTCTGCCTCAACCTTTGTCTTGCAAATGTTGGTTACGCAGCTAGGGAGAGCTCCGCGTGCAGCAACTCTTGTTACTTTGATCTGGACGGTCTGCTTAGCATGCACATCCGGTACTCTTCTCAGTCTGGTCTTATCGGTACGGCGCCAATTCTGCGCCGACCTGTCCTCAAGATCTGTACGCTCTGGATGGAAGCCAGGCCCCTTAGGCTTATGCCCTGGAAAAGTTAACCCCGGCAATACAGACCACGAGCCCACCGCTTCAGTGAGTGGTGAAGTGATCCGTATACTTAGCCGGCTGAGGTGCTTTCGTCTCGAAAAAAGCGCCTGGAGCAGGCTCCAACTCCAAACAGCACACTATGCATTAACATTTTGATCATCAATAGAAGCAGTCATATATAGAGTAATTATGGTATTCCCCCTTAAGCTCTTGTCATGTCCCATGCCAGACCAGCGGCAACTAACAGCCCCTCAGCCAGCCAATTTTGTTGACTCGCGGACTGGGGATCCGCACGCCATGTTGTGGCACAGATGATCGGCTCGTCAAGCAATTATGGATGCAATGTGAGGCCGTGACTTTATTCTCCACTTCTGCGCTACCCCCACCCGGGCCCTGGTGCATCGCGGTCTCCGTGTGCATGCAGGGCCACACATGTGGGCCGTTCGATCCCCTGCAGATTTTGCGGGTCCACTGGTGCTGCGGTCAAAGCCGACGAATTGGTGTACAACTTGGCACTGCAGGACTCAACACCCCGACCCCACGAATAAGTAAGAAGTACGCTCCATAAACTTCTTTGACCGTCGCTCCCCTGAGGAACGCTCAAGCATCATGCGAGAAGAGTAAGAGCCACCGTGTGCATTCAGCCGAGCACAGACTCATCTCGGCCCCGAAGTCTTGGCATAAACACCCACAGGCCGAACTCTTCATCAGACACTCCTTCCGTCACTAGCACAATGGGGAGAAGTCGGAATTCCTTGCGGCACAGCGTCGGGGCCTAGGCTGGTAAGTAAGGGATGGCGGGGGCTTCAGCACTCTCAAGTCTGCGGGCTGGAAAACTCTTTTTGAGTGCTCGGAGGCAAAACCGGGATTCAACAGCCGACAAGCAGATGGGATGATCATAGGGACTCCCAGCTCAGCTGTACAAATCCGCTGCTGCCACCAGTCTCCTCACAGAGTGTCTCTGACGAACCTCTTGGCCAGAGTCCCTGCAGGCATGGAGCCTGGAGACGCTAGATCTATCATAAAATTCTATAAGCCGGTCGGCAGAGGTTTGCAGCACTCCGTGGCATCAGCCTGTTGTCCGACTGAGTTCCAGAATCCAGGCGGAAAGAAACACAAAGTGGCTTGGGGAAGCGTTTCAAACGCTGAACCTTGTACATATACAAGTAAGACCGGCTGGTCTAGCACTTGCTTTCTTGTTTGACGGGGAACTCAGTCTCCACGTGTGTTCTTCAACACCACATGCGTTGCAAGTGACAGTCTGATCAAAATCGTCTAGAGCAAGTCAAATCTTCCACACCCCCGAGGAACTAACAGGGAAACCGTCGCGCCAACCAGGCATGGGGCCACATAAGGGCTAATGGGCCGCTTCCGCTCCAGTGGTGGTGAGGGGTGTCCGCTGACCCTACGTGGACTCCTCGTTAGCTCCGGGGAGTGTGGGGCAGGTCATGCACAGTACGGCCATTCATGGCCATCCACTTGAATGTGGCAAGGACCCCAAATCGCTGACCTAAGCAAGTCTCATTGCACCTCTTGTCTTGTGGGCAAAGCATGACGGCTTTTCCTATCGCTGAGCGCGTTGCACAATGCAGGACTCTGGATCACACCTCGCGGATTTGCTAGAGTACAGTACACACCTTCCTAGCGCAATCTTACCTGGGAGTGCTTGCCATGACCTGGCTTTAATGAAACTTCCGGAACTTCCGAAATCGAAAAAAACTCGGCTCGAATCATTGGACCATGGTCTGAAAGGAATAGCAACCAACTGACACTTTCAAGCGGGCAGCCGAGCCTGAAATTTGCCAGAGGGCAATAGGTGCTGCTTCTGGGAGTTCCCATTTAAACATTGAACCTCATCCGCGGCGCCAAACAATTACACACATCAAGACGTGCGCTGCCTACTCCAGCGAGGCTCTTGCATACACTGCCGTTCATTGCCGTTCTGCACTCTGCCAGGTCACTCCATTTGTTGGAGCTGAGGCCCTCACCAGGACAGAGCTGCATTGGTTCCAGTCCTTCACTAGAAAGGCATACAAAAAAGGGTCAGTAAGGTATCTAAGTTACCAAAGAAGCTCTATCGCAACTGCTCGCTACAGCAAGGCGGGCTCCTCAGCGTTGTGGCGCTGCAGCTCGAGGCTCCAGCGCTCGACCTCGCGCATCAGAGCCTCAGTCAAGAGAGCCCGCAACTCGAACTCAATACATAACATATGATTCTATTGTATTATATTCTATTGTAGAATATTATTTTCTGTATGGTATTATATTCTATTCGAACCCTGCAGGTTCCTTCTCCCTTGACGCTGCGAGCTTCGAACCTCCACACGCTCCTGGACTGCTGGGGGAAGGTGTCGCACCTTCACCGGGTTGGAGCGGCTTGACAGACGCTGAAGGTCACTGTCATGTCTCGGCCAAGATCTTGCGCTGAGTTGGCCGCTTCCTCTCCTCCCGCCGCCCCTGTGACAGCCTCTATGACTCTATGGTCGACGGTCAGAGCTTTCCGAACATGCGCGTCTGATCCGCCGAGGGCCGGGCTCTTCGCACCAATGTGGCCTGGGGAGCCGAATCGCCGGCACCAACCAGTAAGGACAGCACCTCCAAAAAAGGAAACACGGATCCAAGGAAACCTTCGGCAAGAATCGAGCCCTCAAGCCCCAGCAGTCGTGCAGCTTTTCAGTCTTGCCGATGGGTCCTTCTGGCCGTGGCTGCAAGCCGCGACTAGAGGACCGTGACCACGCCACATGCAGGGACAGAACTTGCGCTCAACGTCCTCTGCACGACGAGGTAAACTGCACATATTGATAATGTTTAACAAAAATCATGCTACCACGCGCTCTGCTGCGCCAAACTGGACCCCACATCTGTTCGACGACTGGGGCGGGAGAGCAAAATTTGCACCTAGGATGTCAGCACTTGCCTTCACATCAGTTGACGCCAGTCTTCTCAGGTCACCGGAGAGATTGCTCCACTGAAACCCGAGAGGAAAAACGCTGGCTTCCGACCAGGTCGGATGAGAGAAGGACTCTCAGCTCAGGGTCGGGTACAGGGCAGGCGCCACTAAGTCTTTCATGTGTCGAAGCTATCGAAGGCCTGCTTGGCCGATCGCGACCTACTGTCACTCCGCCAGTGCTGCACCAGTGCCATGAGTTGTGAGAGTTAAAAATGAGCGGTCTGGTGGCTGATGCAGCAAGTAATGCCGCGAAACTACTGGCTGGGTTTATGGCCATATTGTGGATTTCGATCAGCCGCCGGCGCTATGGTGCTGCTGGAGGCATTTCTGTGAGCACGACGAGCATCAACGCATTATGCATAATGCTGTCGGGCTGGAACTTTCTCCTTGCTTCTTATCATACCGACATAAAGCAAAGCTCAAGCACTTGTCTCCGACCTTAGTCCATTTTAGACCTCCGACTGTTGTTATCAGTTAGAAAGCCGTAGCGCTGTCGCATGGTGAGCCAGGCCATGGCAGCGCACACGCTTAAAATTTCCTCAGGAGAAGGCTGGCTGGACGCGGCTAGACGCTGCTAGACCTCAGTCTCGGGCACGCTGCCTGGCAGCAGCGCCTCCTTCATGGCACTTTCTGGCCTGGGAGCTGGCGACGGTCTCTTGAACTGGGCTTGGGCTTTGCCCGGAAACACCAGGACTTCCATAAATCTGCTTTGGCCATTGAGAACGTTGCTCTGTTGATGCCTGAAGACGTTCTGGGACTGCCCATGATGCTGCTGCTGCTGGGCTGGTTTGAGATGCAGAGGTTGTGTCCACCGTAGCGAGCCAAGCATCAAAATCCTGCAGCTACACAATCAGGTTTTGCGGAAAGGCAAACGGGACACCAAACATCAAAGCGAAGTTGGGCCGGCAAGCCCCGACACAAAGGAGGAAGATGAGAATCGGGCTCGACAGAGAAATTGGATTGATAAAACAAAGTGAGCAAAACTAATAATAGGCCAGCGGAGATCACACTTGTGAAAGACCATACCTGAAGCAGGCCGCTAGGACCAAAAAGTCACGACAGCCGGGCCGGCGGTTCGCTATGCTTATAGGAACGTGCAAGTCACAATAAGTTGCCATCTGTGTGCTTCCAGTAGTTACGCTGCTTTTCGGAAAGCTTCCGCGCACGAAAGATATACTCCAACTGCGTTCGGCAACACAGGAGCCTTCGGGAAGGAGAACACCAGGAGACCGCCGAGAGACCACCAAGGAGACCACATCGAGACCAGGACCACCAGGAGACTACCAGGAGACCACCAAGACACAAGCAGGAGACCAGCAAGAGCGCCCCATTTTGTTAGCAGACCATCAAGAGACCACCAGGAGAGCAGCAGGAGAGCACCGGGACAGTACCATGAGGAGACCACCAGGAGAAGCACCAGGACACCAGCCAGAGAACACCAGCAGATCATCAGAACACACATCCAGCGAGATCAGAAGAAGGCCACCCGTATCCCTCCAGGGGTTTCACAACCTTCTGACAAAACTGAAGCCGCAAGGTCCAAGACTCGAACCGGAAGCCCTTAAGCATACCTTGCCGTGACGCTGGTGGGTAGCACAAACCTATCTAGAAAGGCAAACAACTGCTTCCGACACATGAAGAAAAAAATGAAATTTGTAACAGATAGAGAATTTAGGGAAAATTCAATTTATGAAACTGAGGAAAACCAGTAAAAGTAGAACAAAAATATTTGAAAAGCTTTAAAACTAAAAAACAAAAATCGAAATCAAAAACAACTTTTCAAAATCTACCCGGAATTTACAAAACGACAGGATAAATCGAAAATCTTGAGAGGAAATAGATAACCTCTTAATTCAACAAATTCGCCAAATGAGCACAACTCGGAATCGAAACTGGATTCGGAACATGTCGTCGCCCTTTTCAGGAGGACTGTCTGCGGAAGGAACTGCTGCCCCAAATCTACCATATGTGCTTCCCAACTGCAGTATCGAACGAACCTTCAGGGCCAGAAAACAAATTGTACACTTCGGGCCATCGCTGCAGACAAGCATGGAAGAATTTTAAACCCTCCTTCTGCCAGGAGACAGTGTCACCATGTGGCATTCATGTTTCCGGGCTGCTAGCATGTGGCACACTTTCCGTAAACTCCCGCAGTGTGAATATTTCGGAATGATTCATAAGTTTTCGGCACGCAGAGTTCGCAGAGGGAACCGAGAAAAAAGTAGCAAAACGGTGCCCGGCCCAAAACGGTGTGACGGGAGTTCTCGTGTTCGACGGCCGTAGAGAGGTGGCAGCTGGCTGCCCTCCGACCCACAAGCAAAACTCTTGCATCATGCACGAAAGTCACATCCCACGCTCTCTGAATTGCTCACAAGCAAAGCTCCCTAGCCCTTTCAACCTCGAAGCAGTGACTGATGTGACTGAGACATCTCAGGCTTCGACGACTGTGGAAGACTGCTTGTCTGATTTCCAGCACTTGCCTCTGCCAGTTCCTTCCTCACCTGAGCTGCTGTGAGCAATGTGTCTTACCGTCACAAGTTCTCTTTTGCCAGCGGTTCACTTGACACGCGAAGCTTCATCGGCGTGCACACAGAAACATGCACATGCGCAACAGGACAATCGGCATGTATCATATGTGCTATTGCTGTTGCTGCCGCTGTAACCAGAACCCCCCCTCCGGAACTCGAATAGACGACTACCAAGTGGCTTGACGTCGCACGCGTCGTCTAGCTTCTGCGATCACCCCACGGAACACGGCCACTCGCACACAGTAGCGCCTGCAACAGCTATCTGTGTTGAGATGCTGCTTAAGGTTTAGGGTGGCTTAGGTGCTCCTGACTCCTGTTGAACCCTATATCCCCGGACATATCCTGCCATGGCCCCTGCATCCCTCAATTTCGCAGCAATCCCTTGGAGCCAAGCAATGCTCATTCAGATCTGTTGTGTTCGTGAATGCGCTGGTCCGCTGGTACTTGAAACCTCCCTATCTGCATGGCGGCTTGATGCAGCAGCATGGCATGCTCGCGGCCCCATCCGATCCTGCCTGACAATGTATCCAAGTTGGGGGCAGGTGCGCTTTCGTCGCTCAATGACTCCCATGAACCTGTGCTGAGCTCATTTGGAGACCCTTACGTGCGGCGTCTACTGCCGCTGATAGAGGCAAATGCCAGCAAACCACTCCGATGACGGAAAACCCTCCTTCACAGGCTCTGCCCGAATTAGGGAACAAGCACCTGCAAAAGAAGTTCTTTACTTGCTGACTCCAGAGTGGCCGTTCCCGCGTGAGATAGAGCACCTCGATATACGTTAGAGCATAGCCTTCCAGGGGCCGATGCTACAAGTGACGAATAGTGCTGAAACCTCAGGAAGTACCATGCCAGGCTCGGGATTGTTCGACAAAAAGGGGCCTGCAACCGGTCGTATCAAACTCGTGTCTGAGAGGACGAAGTCTTCGCCCCATACGGCACCATCTCTCTGAACATGGCTGTTCAAAGCAACCAGTCCTCTCGTGGCTGGGCTTTTCAAGAAGCCGTTGGTTTAACTAGACTAGATCAACCCCTGGCCACTTCCTGGTACATACTGGTAATCTGATGGCAGTCGCAAACGGGAAAGAACGACCAACTCGTCTTGACGAAGTGAAAGGAACAAGACAATGACGCGTGCAATTATCAGCGCTTGGCCGTGCATCCCTTTTCACCAGCGTTGAAGCCCGGTCCACTAAAAAGACTTTCTTCAGTTCACGCTGAACAGGCAATCAAAGTTGCAGCTACCGGTCAAAGCCAAGCCATGTGTGGCTGCACCATGTGCTGCCTGCCTTGTCACTTTCAAGCCCTGCAAAGACAAATGAACGAAAATCCTGTCTTACAGCTGTTGTTTGATCTCGCCTGTACTTACCACGAGTACACGCAAACAACGGCAGACTCCTTTAGAGAGGATGTAGAGCACCTGCACGTTGTCGAAGCTTTCTTGCCTGGGGGGACGACAGGGCGGTCCAGCATGAACGGACCGTGACCCACTTTAGTCTTGTGAACGGCTCCATGCCAAGCTTCTGAGCAAAGGCTTGCAGTTCAAGCTGACGAGAGATGTCGGCGACGCAGGCTCGATAAGGAGCCGTGTGAACACCACGCATTTCCTGACGAAATTCGGGAATCCGACGAATTTTGCGCATCTGACGGAAGGGAAGGGAGCAGGGTGTGTTTCAGATGGCACGTCGAGTGTCAAGCGCATCCACAAGCCGCATGAACTGAGCAAAGAAGTGGACTTTGGCAATCCATGTTAAGTGCAGCGCCGTGCAGACCTGGCGGCAACATGCAAAACGCAAGGACGGATCCGGTCTGTGTCAGTGTCGGATCTGACCTCGCCTCCGACTGCAGCTGCGGGCTAAGCTGTCCCAGGAGCTCTTGCTGATGCCTCGAAGCAAACGGAAATGTCGCGGTCGAATGCCCGGGCCTTGGGGCTCAGCCTTTTTCAGTCCGAGAAGCAGATGCTGCATCAGAAACCGATTGGAGAGGAAGAAGCTGCGCAAGCGACTTCGCATGTCGAAAGGCAGCTCCTGATCTGCCATCATCCTCATGCAAGCTGCCCGAGAGCGCCAAGGGATACACTGAATGTTCAATGAAAAATCTTGAACAGTCCAGACAAGCTA